CCGGCTCGGCGGGGAGGAGGGCCGAGGAATAAATAAGGCCGGAGCGGCGCTGTGGTGCCGGATGTTCCCCTTGCGCGCTTGCGAGGTGTCCGCGGCGTTGAAATGCTAGTATAAAACCCCCAGGGAGAGAGAAGCTTCCTTCCTTTTGTTCATTCCGTGCGAGCGCTTGCGTGCTGCCTGCTTCGGGGGCCCTGGGCAGCCGCTACAGCCCTCCTCATTGAGCGACTGCCTCGGTTAGCAAACATTCACAAATACGAATGCGAACAGTAACAAAACATTCACTCTCCGCTGTATGAGAGAACTTTGTCTGAATGAGACAGCAGCAGCCAGTGATCTTTGCGGTGTCTCTCTCTCATTCAGCGACCTGTTCGGTTAGGGACCATTTCGCTTAACGACCTGGTCATTGTAACAGAACGTGATTGCTAACTGAGGAGTGGGTGTAGTCATGCAAGCAGCAGGCGTATGAGCGTAAGCATCAGATGATACCTGCCTGTAGGAATGAATGATAGTTAAGGAAAACAAGGCAAGCAAACTCAGTCCCCAATTTGTGAAGTAATGTGATCTCAGAAGTTCCATTTAATCCTAAAAGGGGGGGGGGGAATACGCAGTAATCTTTTTGTCCTGTGGGAGAGGTGAAGACACATTTATTGTGCCTGTCTACGTCCTGCAGAGAAGAAATAAACAAGTTAAACATAGTGTTTTGTTTTTAAAGGACAGTGGTGGCTTGTGAAAGCTCTAGCACAAAGCTGCACAGTTACTTGTTGACTTGGGCCCCATAGTTTTTTTTGTACCGGTTTTGCCTGCTGAGGCCCCAGGTGCAGGAAAGAAGATGGTGTTACATGGAGGGATGAGCTCTTTTTTTCGCTTTACCTTCCCTAAGTCCGTCTGAAGGCTTACTGCGTCGGATTTCTTTTGGGGTTTTTTGGAAACTGAACAGCCAGCGTTCACTGATTTGCCACTGAAGTTTCAGCAGTGTAATTCTAAGACTTTTCCCAGAGAAGTGTTGGGCAGCTGTAAGCAGGACAGTGTAGCAACAGATCTGCTTTCGTCCTTTAAGTGTTGCTGCTGGTGCTGCTGATGGTTTAAATTGCCAGTAGGAATGCCAGCTTATTTAAAACCAAATGACTGCTAAATGCTGTTGTGAAGAACTCTTTGCAACAGGGGAGGTAATGTTCTGCTAGCCTGGGGACATATTTTAAGTTACTTTTTTCAGGAGCCTTAGGTGGGCTTTATTGAACAGTGATGGAAATTAGCAAAAAATCATAGTATCATGAATAATTATAATAATAATGATAAAAGCCAGAGAACTGTTTTCGTAAGAATGGCCTGTGAATTTGAATTTAATGAGCTAAATGAAGGGCTTCCTGATCGCAAAGTGCTGTCTCATAGCAACACAGTCATGGGTGATTCCTTGTTTCAAAGTTACCTTTTGAAATGTTTCATTTTCTCACATTCCTGTCTTCTTTTCTTATCAGATGACCTGGAAGAGGATGAATCTGATACGCAAGTTGACATGGCAAGTAACCAAGTCAGAATGTATCTTTCTGTCCTGGAAGTTGGGTGGGGCAGTCTTTGAATAATGCTGCACTTCTGGGCACATTTTTCTTTTTAATGCTCATCTTTGTAGAAATAGAGGAATGACTAAAAAGAAAGAAAGAAGTAAAGTGATGGGTAGAAATTGTGAGAAAGCGGAGTTCCCTGCTGATTTATCTGCTTTTTGTAACACATCTTGGCCTCTTATATTAATATTCAAGATTCTAAACCTTTGATTTGATTCTACCTACAGCCAATGTACGTGCTTTCCATTTATAAGAGGACTTTACATGAAAAATGTGTGACTGACTCTTAAATTACACTTATAACCCTGTTAAATAACAAAAACCATAGTTAAACTCCTTGGATTCTAACAATTAAAGATAATGAATACATGGTGTTAAAATAGAATGATTATGCTACTTTGCAGTGTAAGGAAACCAGACCACCTGTGCCCCAGGGAGTTTATAGTGTAATTGTTAACAATGAAAGAGAAGGGGGTGGCTCAAAGAAAGAATAAAGATGATGACAAATGTGGGAACAGTTTCAGTAGCAAGAGATGGAGCAAAAGAAATGAAGTTGTAGTAATACAAGTTTCTTTTGGCTGAGGCTTCCTAGAAAAGTAGAGATGTCAAAGAAAGATTTGTAAAGAGACCAGTATTAGGAAGGGTTATTAGCATCCTCCAGTCCTTGAAAGACTTGACCTTAATTAATATTAATATCGAGAGGAGTTCCTTGCTTTCACTAATTATTGTCTAGGCCTAATCCCTTCTTCTATATCAGGAGGTGGACCCAGGTGGGGAGAAAGATGCCAGTGAGGAAGAGGAGGAGGAAGTCAACCTGCCCCAAACCCCAGAAACATGTCTCCAGATGAACCTGGTTTATCAGGAAGTGATTCAGGAGAAGATTGAGGAGATCAACAGTCTCCTTGCCCAAAATAAAAAACAGCAGGTGAGTTAAACTGCAGGAACCTCAGGAACGCTATGGAAAAGCCTCATCTCCTGCGGGTGCTTTGAGACTAAAGTGGTTGTCTTTCCCATAATAGCTGTCATGTTGGCACAGCATGCCCATTTCACAGGTTAATGGAGATCAGAGACCAGAATCTATTCTTTCTAGACTCTTGAGTACAAGGTGTGGTCCGATCTCCGGCACACAAACTTACCCCTTTCCCCGGCGGTATAATTTCTCACCCTACATTCAACATTTCACAGGATCCAGTCCTTCTAGTCACTAATTCCTCCTGATCTGGATTTCCCCCTCCCTTTTTCTTTTGGTTTCTTCATCATGACCCTTCTGAGTCAAAATGTAGATCTGAAAGAGGATAAGTCCATTCCAAAAGTGGCTTTAAAAGGCTGGCTAATGACCGACTGGTAAATTTGGGTCTAGGGGCAGAGGAACTGTGTACCCGACTGCACACGTTTGTTGCTCAATGGTGAGTCAGCAACTCAGTGGCCTTTCAGTTTTGCCTGCCATTTGCTTCATAGTCTGTTGACTGGCAGTTTCAGAATCCCTGCACTTGGCTTGCAATCCTTGCACCGTTTTGCACCAGTCTGCTAGAAGTGAGGAGAATTTTGTAAGTGTGAACGCTGAGGTGAATTGTTTGAATAATTGGGTGGTGTGCCTTCTTCATCTTAATGACGGGATACAGTTGGACTGGGGATCATCCAGGCCCGGGATTCTGGCTTGGGCCTGATGAACATGCCGAGATGGTTCTACCAAATGAGCGCCTTCTGTTTGTGAATGCCCTGCAGGAAAAACTCACATGGGAGCTCGCTGGAACAAAAGGGATGAAATCAAGCGATGGAAAATCTTTGCCAGCAAATATGTTTTTGGGCCATTTTATGAAGCCGTATTTTAAGGACAAAACATCAGGGATTGTAAGTATAATAATAACAACTTGTTAAACTTGTATGCTGCCTGACTCCCAATGACTCTGGGTGGCTCACAGCAATCAAATTAGAATCAGATCAATAAAAAAATTAAAAGATGGCAAGCGTGATAAAGCAAGGGGAGCCCCTCTCCGTTGCCAAAGGCCTGGGTGAACCCAGGTCTTCACGGCTCTTCTGAACAACAGCAGAGTGGGCCCATCCAGATCTTGGGGGAAAACCTGTTCCAGAGTGGGCGTGCTTCCAGGGTCCTGATAGATGACATTGTTTAATCGAAGAAACACAAGAGTGCGCCAACCCTACAAGATCAAAGTGGCCAGACAGATACTATGGGAGACAGGCGGTCCCTCAGGTAACCAGGGTCTATGCCTGGAATGACTTGGCAATTGCTGGTTTCGCTGGTTCGCTTCTCCCTTTGTATAGAAATAAGCTTTTTTGTTTTCTGCTCTTCCCCAATTGGTAGTCCTCAATTTTTTGCACAACAGGGAGGAAAACTTCAGCCAGATCTGAGGCGCTCTTCCCAGGTGTCCCTCCTAACAGGATTAAGCTGGTCTGTGCCATGCAACTCTCTCTCTTTTGTGGTCTGGATTTGCTTTTCTTGAAATCTTTGAACAGATTCTTTTCTTCGTGCTAGAATTCCCTGGGGGAGGGAGTTGTTTTCTGGCAGGGGTTGAAATGAAAAGTGGAATAAAAGTGTTGGATTTTCCTCAGGGCCCTCCTGCCAACAATGATGCTCGAGAAAAAGCAAGGCATGGCATCAAATCTTTTGAGGAGCTGATCACTATCAAATGTAAGGGGCCTCGGGTGTTACGGTAAAGGAACCTAGCTTTGGACCGTTCAGTGGGGAAGGGGATGTGGGTTGGCTTGGCATTCTAGCCCCGGTTTCTGCTGTTCTTCCATCTTTTCATAAAGATTTCTAAGAAGTAGTTGGACCTGATGGCACGCCCTTAGCAGCCACTCACATCCAAGAAAACTAGATTCTCAGAGTCCTACTGACCAAAGTTATTGAAAGAGAAAAAGGCT